TTAACGATGAAAAATAAGGTAAATCTATAAGCCTCAAGCTAACAGTATTTTCGTAAACTAAAGGGTCCTTGAAATGATTCAAATTTCGTATATTATGCATAAAAATTAAGTTAGCTTTCGTGCAGAGTGTAAAGCATATGTTACGCCTAGATGTTATGTTTCTGCAATATTTCTTAAACACTTGATGGAATGCTTCAAAACGGAAACTCCATGTGTATCGCGGAGGGCCTATTTTTTTAATTGTCTGAGGATAGTGAAGCAGTATGTGGTACTTTGGTTTAAGATGTTCATCAAATATTTCATTGTACAGCGTGTGGTGACAAATTATTTGTTCTTCTAAAGTACAGAGAAGTTCATCGTTAAATCTAGGAAGCAAAATCATGTTCACTAACTCAACCAACGATAAAACAAAATTCCATACTTTATCATTTTCTGGTATTAATTCACCAAAAATTAAAGGAAAGTAATGCACAAAGAACATCATTTCTCATGCTGTCATTTTAAAATTAGTTGATTTGATTTGTTCCTTAGTAATTGTTTTAAACGTATTCCTTTTTTCTGTTTCTTTACAATCAAACATTTGAATTCGGTAGTTAATGGTTTTCAAGGAAATTTTCAAATGTTTGATCATGTAAGATAAAACAAGAGACATGTCATAGTTACAAATTCCATGAGAATAAAAATCATGCATTAAATCAACACAAACAAATTCAGCCACATGATAATGCTTTAATTTATTGAATGTAGACTCTTCTTTTATACCTGATTCTTTAAATGGTTTTTGAACGTCAATAGCATAATTGCTTTTGTTTCGGGTTTGATGAAAGTCAAGCCTTACATTCGTTTGCGATTCATATTTATTCATAGTGCAATATCTGCAATAAAGCAACGCACTGAAGGATGTAGCATATCCCATTAACGTATTTATTCCCAAATTATCTCCTAAGATACCCATTAGAACAAAATAGACATAAATCTTACTTCCGTTAATATCCAATTCAATACCGTTTTGCTCTACATCAATGAACACGTCAATTAAATCTTTCAAAGCCTGGGATGGGCCTAGTTTTGCTAAGTCAGACGCTTTTATGAAACCAGCAACAAACAAGTTCTCCAATCGTGATAAAAAATGTGTAGGGATTGTAGGAAAATTATAGTATAATCCTGTCACCTTGTGAGTACCAGAGTGGGCTCCAATAGCATCGTTCATCTCAACTTCGTCAGAGTATAAAAAATAGGGAATTACAAATCTACTCGCAAACTCTTCTTTTACATTTTTCCACAACGTACCATTGACGACGTTTGTTATAACATTACTCTTCTCCAAAGAACTCATATGCATAATTGTTTCGTTGAACACGTCTCCACTTTCAAAAAATAGTTTGAACTGATGCTTGATCGGCATAAGACATCCTTTAGAAATTATACTTCCATCCTCATCTTCATAGTTGATCACTTGTAATGTATCTTTTAGATTTATGCTATGCAGTGTCTTGTTGAATTTTTGTTCAGTGCCTATGAATTGAAATGGTTGATATATATCATTGATCAACTCTTTGATGTTTTCATTACTATCAACAATTGGTGCTACTGTAAATAATGTGTCGCATATTGGTTTAACTATTTGATCGGTAATACATTGTTGTAAGTTGATGACATCTTTTCTCGTATTTGCTGTGTAAATCTAACGTGAAGTTTAAAAACGTTTCCCTTAACTTATTTCTTATATCTAGAATATCACTTTCACTGATCGTAGTTTTCTCTTTTTCTTCATTCACAATTCCGGACGTATCCATGTCGTTCATGCTTGTAGTGTCCACATATTCTTCTCTGTCGATGTCGCTTTCTGTGATTATTGGGATTTCGATATTGGCGTAAGTTGTTTCATTATCGGTAGCATTATTCGAATGAAATAATCCGGAATGGTAGGTATTGATGTGTCTTTTGAAACGATGCACGTTTTGAAACGATGTAGAGGGTACACATGCTGTACACGTGTATTTGAAGACGGTAGGTGTGCCATGGTAAATCATCAAATGATCGAAGAAAGTTGGAATAGTCCCGAATGGAATTTTACACAAAAAACAGTTCATGCTGTTGTTTCGCGGTTCTCCAAAAATGCGAAAAGTTGTAGAAGTTGGCTGTTCGTTACTTTCCGCGTATAGTTGATCTTGTAGAAGTATTTTGCAATGAAGCACCAAAGTAACTCGCAGCTTTCAGGGAAGTTGTAATTCAAAGCGAACTTTAGCTTCACTACTAGATCCACGCTGCGCAAGAATGATGGTAGCTTAAACTGGAGCTTCGCGGTTACTACATAGAACCCTATCAGCTTGTCGATCTCTCCAACCAAGAAGATGCGAGGTGAGAATTGAAAATCATTCGCTTTGAGTTCCTCACGCAAATTGTCTACTGATTCCAAAAATTCTTCTTCTGTTTTGCATGCAAAACACATATCGGTTTGCGCTTGAAGAATCGTTGGCAGCTTTCGTGACGATGTACGAACTGGCTTAATGACACCATGGAAAATGGTACAGCAAATGAAATCTCGGGTATCTGAAATGTAAACGATAGTGAGAAAGAAAGTATGCTTTAAAAATAAGTTTATTCATTGTATTCTCGATTGTACTACCTTGAGCAACAGATGTTTCTTGAAGATGAGACAGCAGTTGTCGGGAATAATCGTCCTTTAATCCGAATAAATGAAGTTAAGTAAATAAAATCAGAAATTACCTTCACCAGATAGAAGTAGCGCCTTCGCCTTGATAATCTTCCAATAATCGATGTCTGTATTTCGATGTTGTTGCTTTTCCAACAAAGATTTTTTGTTCCGGTTATGAAAGCGGTCATATATGAGTCCAGTCGGATGTTTTTTTTTCCAATCGTACAGTCTCGAGGATTATAGTAGACTTCCTGTAATAGAGATAATTGAATGAAATGGTAAGGTTATTAACATTAGACTGAATTAAGCTTCAGTTACAGCCAATTCTGGAGGAAACCGCTCTGCGATGCACTGCGCAAATTTGGCCATATCAGTAAGTGTAAAGTAGCGTTCATTTGCAATGTAGTAGTCTACTATGATGTGGGTCAGATATTTTCTGTGCTGCGAGTCCAATCGACGATGCTTGTCGTGGTAATGCCGGACAATCTTTCCTTTTTCGTTCCTCTCAAGTATGTCCTCTAGAAGGTTTTTCGTTACCGATGTAGATAATAGAGGGTGTCTTGACGGGCCAGGAAGGCAGGCCCTCTCCAGGGTAACGTCCTTTTGGTACAATGTACTTTCATACCAATTTTGTAACTTCTTTCTGAGCGCATACTTATGGCCCGTCCACTTAACAACAGAAAAAATCTCTTGCAACGCCACTTCATCGATATCCTTTAGATATTCGACTGTTACGCCGTGTCCTATAGAAACAAAATTACAACCATCATGCTGTTCTGTAGACAGCTTCAACCCATCTTTATTAGGGAATTTAAAAGTTGGAAGTATCAAAGTTCTTCATACAAAACATAATTAGATCATTTCCAAATATAGATAATAAAATTTCATGAAGATGGGTTTTGTTTCAACTTCCGAACTTCCAACTAGAAAACACCCGGACTAGAAAACTTTCCATGAGCGTAGTGTAAAATATGCAAACGGGAACTCACCGATTAAGATTGAATACACGGATGCATCCAATCCCCACTTATTCACAATAAGTGAACGAAGTTCTGGAATTTCATCATGTTCTGAATGTAGAAAGCATAATTTAGAAACATTAAGCAAAGGTAAACAACATTCATAATATGAGAACCACCTTCAACTAGTGCTGGATCTGCTAGAATCTCATCGATTATAATTTCCACTTTTTCTTCACCGTTAGCGTCCATAATTAAAACAGGATTTAAAACTAGATAAAAAACACAAACCGTATCGAGCAACTTGCAAAACAGAAATGACTATTCAATATGGCATTGTCATGAGCCTCGTATGTCGGATCATGAGCAAGGGACAATTTTGGCGGTACAAATTATCGCTATTTTGTGTTTGTTTTTACCACAGACAAACAGACGTAACTCTTTGAAAACCTTGTTCTTGAAAACATAGTATCTCAAAACATATAACCTCAGTAACGACATCTATCTGGCTTCTCGCGGAAAACAAGCTTGCTCGCTAACTCGTAAACAATATTGCATAAAAGTTCTATAAAATATATAGAAACGTCAAAGTGATCCGATGCCAGCGCTGCGGCGAGTAGTTCGCGGAACTGATAATATTCAAATCAACCGTTAAATGCATGAACGAAGATACACAATGAAGAGTTACGTCTGTTTGTCTGTGTTTTTACTATGTGTATGGTGAACCTGACAACAATGCGTTGAGCAAGAATACATGTCATAGTAAATTTTACTACATAAATGAGTTCAATTTGAATACAAAGAATCTGCGAAAATGACTATGACAAACTGCATTGGTGAATAGTACTTTTTTCAACATTTACTGTATTTTCAACAATATATTTCTTTATATTGACTGATTCTGTTAATGGTATTTCTAAAAATAATTTGCTATTTGTTGTTACTACAACATTTGTTTCAGTGTACAATCAAATCTGTGAAAAGGTTTTAAAATATTTAATCTTGTGTTTTCTGAGAAAAAGTATTATGAAGTATGGGGGCGACCCCGGCGTAGAGGTTAGCATCCACGCCAAAGTCACGAGTTTAAATCTCACTCCCGGACAAGTCACGAATGACCCCATAAATCGCTCGAGTTCCTACACTTTTTGCGATTTAAACTCAAATTTGTGTCGATCTCATTGGCCGTGTATAGGGCTGTTCATAAACTAATTGCGAGACTTGCTTTAGAGTCCCACGCTGGCACGAGGACGATGTACAGCCGCCCCCTAACTTGGAGAGCACAAACACTGTGCTGAAAGTAATCCGCTATTATTATTATTATCTTCGACAAACATTCAAATCCCTTTCGCCTAAATATTCACGTCAATCCTCTCCTTTTCCAGTTACATGGACTCGTACACCGCGTGGTCATCGGATCTCAATCGTACCAAGGACGATGACGAAATGACGATCGCCGCACCGGAAACCATGGCACAGGAGAACCTTCCGGAGCTGAGTGTCCTTTGTGAGAAATACGAAGTCACCGCCAGAGACTCCACCAAGCAAAAGTCCAAGAAAGAGCCGTTTAGCATCAGCACATACACCTGCTGCTTCTGCCAGCAGTCGTTCCGCACCAAGGAAGCCCTAAAAGGTCACAAACAGACCAAGCACAATGGTTCCAAGAGGCAGACGCAGCAGAAATCCAAATGTCCCGACTGTGGACAAATATTCATGTCCTTGTACCAGATGCGGCTGCATGCTGTCCGGCACAGGAGCAACCTGTTGATAAGCTGCCCGACCTGTGGTATTCAGTTCATATCGCAAAACGAACTGACGTCGCACCTCAAGAACAAGGGCTGCCGCTTGAAGCCGTTCGGCAAGTGTAAGTACTGCGATAGAACGTTCTCCCGACGGGGTCGATACATCTTCCACCTCAAAAAGCTCCACCCGGACAAACCCATTCCAAGCGTAAGTGGTGGGTCGAAAACGCCACGTGCCACGATTCTACCAAATCCGCAATACACGGATATGAAAAGGACCGACAGCGGCGCTAACAGCCTGCCAATCGAGGAGCACGGTCGCTTTGTAGTGATGCTGGAGCCCCTTTCATTAGGCGTCCCGTCTAATCCGTCAAGCGATGAGACATCCAGCGAATCACCATTCAGCCCCCCCGATGAGAATGAAAAACTAGTTTGTACCCTCTGCTACGAGCGCTTCGATGACTTGCCGGCCTACAATACCCACCTGGCGGAGTGCTTCAATCCGGATGACCAAACCGGGCTGGCTCCACCGCCGTACAAGCTGTGCAATTGTGAAGACTGTACGGTCGTGTTCGAGGCGGTCGATCCCTTTGTGGAGCACCTCCGGGAGCACGAGCGACCGCTGCAGATTAAACCGCATGACTGTGTCCAGTGCAGCAGTGGCCGACAACCGAAATTCCTGCTCCATCCGCACAGCCCTTCGATGATTCTCGGCGACTAACGTCGCACGGTAAGGTAATTAAAGTATGTGTGTGTGTGTGTCTGTGTGTGGAAACTTCATTTGAGGCGCTCAATGTGACCCCATTCGGATATGAATGCCCCATTGCATCTCTCCCATCATCGTCGTTATAGTGTAGTTAGTAGCTGTAGAAGTCCGAGTGCAAGCTTTTGGCCGAGCCTGAGCGAGTGTAGGGCACATTATTTAATCGTTTCGTTCACATTAATTTAACAATAAAACTCTAGTGCAATTCTTCCGAGTATACAACAGATCAAAGAGTAGAGAAAGTTCCCTGTGATTCCCGTTGGGGAAGATTTTCAAAGAAGCAACCTGCAAATATCCACGTGCGATACCTAAACATAGTTTTTTATTAAATAAACGCTAATTTCCTAGTACTTTTCTACGGACTAACCTAAACCATGATCACCTTTCATCTTCAATCGGACAGCTCCTCTATCAGTGATATCGAAATCTGCGGCTGGAAGGCTGTTCCGTAAAGATCGAACCCGGAATCGGGTGGCGCTTCGTCCAGCATCAATTCCTCCTCCAGTCTATTTGTGATGGAAACTCCCCTTCTCGAGCTTTCCTGTTCTTCGGCCGCCATGCAGGCATCATCATCATTGTCTTCCATATAGATGGGAAAATCATCGCTGGAAACGCTGACCGTTTCCGGATTCGGTTGCTGAGATTGGCCAGGCTGCTCGGCAACAGAACTCAGCACCCCGTTCGTCAGCTCGCCTTCCGTATCCGACAATTCGTCGTTGGCCAAATCCTGCGGATCATAGGCCGCATGTTTCAAATTTAGGTGAACTAGAAATTCGTCCCTGCTGCTAAAGACCACGTTGCACTCACAGCACTCGTCCAGTAACGCTTTACTCTGGTGCACCGCAGTCTGATGTTCCACGTAATTTTCCAAATTGGCAAACTTCGTCCCACAGGTCCAGCACATGAAGCACCTCTCGTGTTTCTTCACGTGTATATTGAGACAGTGCCTGTTCGGGAAAATCCTGGAGCAAATTTTGCACTTGAAATTTTTTCTACGCCCGTCTCCCATTCCTGCTAAGTGTAGCATTTTGTGGACCTTGTTTTCCTCCTCGGTAGCAAACCGCCTGAAGCACAATCTGCATTCGAACTGAAGGCCATGCTGTTCCTCTTCGTGTTTTCCCAATTCCTTGCCAGTGTCGAACATTTCCTTGCAAAGTCGGCACTTTTTCTGTTTGTTGTACTGCGAACAATCCAAGATACTCCGCGGTCTGTTGGTATGCTTAAGGACGTGACGCTGGAAGAGATTGTCTTTACGGAACCGGCGCGGACACAATGGGCAAGTCACAATTCCTCCGACTTTATGGTGATTTTTCTTCATGTGTTTCCTATACTCCAGGAGCGAAGGCAATTTCATATCACACACAAAGCACATATTGTCGATTGTAGGCGAATTTGCAGAGCCCTTTGAGTCATCTGCACTTTCATCCGTCGCAGGGGGTACTTCCACCGTAACGGAAACATTAGTGGATTCACCACCATCATCCGTATTACTAATGGACGCCTGTTCACGGAACTGCCTCAGGGCAGCATCATGCAACTGACAGGTTAAGCGAAACTGGTCCACACTCTCGAGCGTCGTTTTACAACCGAAGCAGATGGCAAACGGAGCATCCTCCTCGACGGTCATCTGAATGCCGACTGTCCGTTGGATGTAGTCGACCCACTGCAGGGCATCTTCACGCGATATGACCTTTTTACAGAGCCTTGCGGAGAAGCATAACCGACAGTACGATAGGGAGTTCCCGGAGGGCCTATTTCAGAAAGAAGGAAAATTCGTTTATATTTAAGCAAAGGCTGAATGATCGAAGAGTACTTACACTTTCAGGGTAGGTGTTTCCACAATTTTAGTTGCTCTACGCATTATCTAGAAATAAAATCAATTGGTTTTTTTTGGCAGATGTTTGTAACAATTTGTAAAAAGATGTTTAGAAATTCTATAAACACCTTTTACTCTTTTGAGCGTTTGATGGACTAATTCAGGCGTAACATTTGATAACGGCACAAAAGCTTTTGTAAACAAACTTTGTAAGGCCCTTCGCGGGTAGGTGCAACTCTTACCTTCCCGAAAGTGGTATTGGTTTGCGTGAGCGTTCTTTGGTTCGCGTGCAAAGGACCTTACAAAGTTTGTTTACAAAAGCTTTTGTGCCGTTATCAAATGTTACGCCTGAATTTGTAAATAAAAAATAATTCGCGTTGACAGCATTGGCTCTTCACCCACAGAGTGACAGTTCTTTATGGGATTTGTCAGTGGCAGCGTTGCCAGAATGTTTTAAAGTTTATCGTTTCCAAAGTATTACAAAATCGGTAATTATCGGTATTTAGGCCGTTCGCAATCCTGTTGTATTTTATAAGGACTGTTTCAATTTGAAACTAGAACAGAAACGCACCTCTCGCAATGCTGAGTATGCAGTTTCATTATTCGAGTACTATTTTGCACCAGATTTGCAACTGCTCGACTATATCTGTTTTATTTCTGAGCGAGTTTGAAACACGAATGGAACTCTGTTTCAAATTTCTTTGGATGTATTTAAAGATGTTTCGCAGAGCTTCACAAAAAAACGGAGAACTTCATAGAGAATAGTAAAGTTTATCGAACATGATGATTACAAACATCTTTTAGAACTGTGCGTTGTGGTGATCGTGTTGCAGTTTTATTTTTGACAGTTTCAAATTATATAATTGTCGAGTAGTTTAAAACAATTTTTAAACTCAGCATTGCGAACGGTACTATTTATTTAATTTTATATTTTTGCCGTTTTTGAAAGCGAAAATTTTAACGATGGTGACTGGGATTTGCGGGGCATTGCTTGACGGTTTTCTCAGTCTTAAAACATTATTTAATTTTTCTAATTTAATGTTTAAAATTATCATTGTCCTCAAGTGGTGATCAAAATTGTGACCAAGTAGCGGTTTTTTTTTTCAATTAAATATCATTAAACGAAACCAAAATATGGCAATAACAACGACTAATATTGACAATAACGACAAACAATATTTTCCCTTGAAAAAAGCCACAACCCATGACCGAAATGTCGGGCAGATTACATTGTAGTCGTTGCAGTGTTTTAAGACTGAGAAAGCCGTCAATCAAAGCAAATTTTAGCTTTTGAACTATGATCGGAAAACTCGGGAAGAAAACTCCAGGGAGTTTTTGAATTAGCTTCTGAATGAAGCTGAAAAAGTATCTAGAGAAAGACGAAAGAAGCTCTCCTGGATGAAGTTCGAGAAAAGCTGGAAAAACCTCCGGGAAACTTCCCAGACACGAATTGAGAAACTTGTTGCGAACATTTAAATAAACTATCGGAAAAAATCGGATGTCACATGTCACAGAAAAGTTTCGGAAACCGGAAGTAAATTTCCAGAAGTAATTAATTAATTAATTTATCTTTATTAGGGAGGCGTTCAGCCTGGGGCTGGTTCGCCTCCAATGTTCCAGAAGTAGCCATTTCCAGGGAAAGCCAGAAGAAACTCGGAAAAACCTTCCAATAAAAGTCGAACAAAAAAACCTTTGGCTTATGGTCAAACTTCCAGAAGAAGACGAAAGAAATTTCTGGGAGAATTAATTGAACTTCCTGGAGAAGACGAAAGAAACTTCCTGGAGACGCTGGCAGAAACTTCCTAGGGTAGATTGGAAGAAACATCTGAAGAAAGTCGGAAGCCAGAGTGCTTACGGAACAGTCGAAAGAAACAAGGACATAATTCCGGAACAAAGAGATTCCTGGGGGATGTTCTAATGATCCAGAAAATTTTCCTGATATTCATAAAACATCCCTGAAGACTCCGCAATTTACCTGAAGTTTTCGTAACATTCCTGATATGCACTTAGGAATATTCCCAAGGGGTAGGTCATTCCGCACACCAATCTTGGGACATCTTTTTTGTCAGTGTGCCGCAGGTGTGCCGATTGTGGCGGTCATAGAGCAAGCTGTTGCGATTGTTTGTAAAATACCCAACCCGGTATTTCTGACACCTTGAATGGTTTGGTTTGAAATCTCAAGGATAAATTTCGCGTCACTTTTCAAATAGTCCAATGTAACGTATCCACCATTTTGAGAAAATCGAAGTTGAAGTTCGACCAAAGTTTGACAGATTATTATTTTAACTGTTTAAAAACAATACATTTTGTTATACTACTTTTAATGTAGTCAGTGTATAATAACGTTGAAAATTCTGAAGAAACGGTAAAATCACAATTTTATTTTGAATTTAATGCTACAACATAGAAAAAACCACATAGGACGTTTTGACAAGGCGAGTTGTACATTGGACGATTTTTCTCACTGACATAATCAATCATGGACGAGAACGGCTTTCCTGGGAACCCGCATAAACGCGAACCATCACATGACCTTACCGATAATGGTTATAAATTGTTTATAATCCCTGCTAAACTTCAACTGAAATGGTTATGGAACTTTACATGAACGTTTGTGTGATAAAGTTTTAACCTTATGTATTATGGTTTTTTGGAAGCGGACCTTACAAATAATGGGTTGTTAAGAACCATTACCATTCCAAATTCTTGTTTTCTCCATACATTATCGGAAAGAGAACTATATTAGAACGTTTTTACTTATGGTTTGAGAACATTAATGGTTATGGTTATGGTAATCAGTAAGGTCCATGCGAAAAAAGGAAACTGGAAAATGTTCCAGAAACATTTTTTCACAACCTTTTTCGCTAGCGAAATTTCATGATTTTTCGCGTGCTTCAATTTTTGTTTCGCTTCGATCTGTATACTAGGCTTAAAACAGAAAATAACATGTACCCAAGCTGTGCCAAATTTAATTTCGTCACAATGTGCTGAGTGACTTAAGGCCCAAACGCAATGTGGAGCGGAACGGAAACGGAAAGTTTGACAGTTGTCACAAATGCCTTCAAGATGCCTAACCGAAGTTGATTTGGTTCCAACAAGTTTTCAATCCGACAAGTTGGCTTACCTTAAATAAAATAAAAAAAAAATTCAAGTGCGTGCATCCTGTTATGATTATGGTACGTTTCTAAAAGTTGCAAGCACCTGACAGATTTTGTTTTACTGATTGCGGACCTGACCTTTTTGTCGTTTAATCATCTTCTCTTTTCCAGCACACGACGACGGTGAAGAAGGATTTTTCATTACTATAATCGATTTCCCTCTTGCTCGTGGATCTTGTGCACACCGAAAATTCGAAAAGTCTTTTTAAATCTCGTTATTTTAAACAGCAAAATGCTTTTTAAGTTTTGACTCCTATACTACTAAAAATAAAAATTGAAAAAAAAAACAAAAACCGCCCTTTTTAAGTTTAAAAATTCAGTGTGTGGCGAGCAATTTTATAGCCAAAATACATGTGGAAAATACGTAATCAGAAATAAGGCAATTTTTTCTAGTGTAAGTGTACAGACAAGTACGGACATATTTTTTGACACTCATATAGACTTTTAAAAAAATCATCTGGTATCCCTGCCTGATTGAAGCATGCAGACTATTGGAAGATTGCCGCAAAAGCTCAACGCAGATTAATTAATTAATTTATCTTTATTAGGGAGGCTTTCAGCCTGGGGCTGGTTCGCCTCCACTCCTCAACGCAGATGTCGCCAGTGCATGATGATGATAATGTTGACAGACTGCATATAAAATTCGTGAAAATTAGCATTAAATCGGTAGTCCTACCTAGAAATACTAGAAGGAGAGATGAGTGGAGAGAATGTTTTGAGCCAAATGAACTGTCAAAATCTAAGCCAAACGACCATTCCCATTAGTATTTTTCCGAGGATTTCTTATTGTTACTAGATTACATTTGAGAGTATTGCAATCGAACAGAAATTCAATCACCTTCATGTTTCGTGTGCTTCTCAAATTTAACTAGTTTTTGGAATCAAAAGCAATATTCTAACTCTATTGATTAATTGATCTTAGTTGGTTAATTAATGGCACCAAAAAATGTGGAAAATATTGCGATGCAATAAATTATTAATTTGCACGTAAATCGAATGAAAAGTAAAAGTCATGTGAAATGCTAAGTTTTAGCAAGGGTTGCAAGATAATGTAGATACAAATCCCTGCTGTCGAATTGTATTTTGTTTTCTCCGCCCATCTCTCCCTCTGAGTATTTCTAGTCCTACCTAAAGAGCCTAAATTTGACAGAAGACCTGTCAAATGGGTAAGATGTCGTCTTTTTATAAATTCAGGCTCTTTAGTCCTACCCATAGTCGGCGCCGGTGGTGTAGAGGTAAGCGTGACTGCTTTCTAACACCCCGATGGGTCTGGGTTCAATCCCAGCCGAGGTCGGTGAGATTTTTCTGAGGCATAAAAATCTATGGTCACGTCTTCCTTCGGAAGGGAAGTAAAGCCGTTGGTCCCGGCCCATATGTGTTGAATGGGTGCGATATCCTACGCAGGTGTGGAAGCTGCCTTCCTGCACATTTGATTGCCGTCAATGGATGGCAATCGATGTCCGTCGGTGATTGGCACTAGATTGCGGAACAGAGACCGACGTTAAATAAAGGAAAGAAGAAGAAGAAGAAGTTCTACCCATGGTGGGTATATAAATGGTGATACAGCTTTATCACTATATAGGCGAGGAGGTCGCCGGGGGGGGGGGGGGAATGCGCTTTTAGAGCAAATTGTAAACAAACTCATCGCTGAGTTCCTGCACTTTTGGCGATTATGAGTGAACTAAAATTCAAATTTGGGTTGTTCTCATTCGCCGTGAGCGTATCTGTCGGATTTTCACTTCACCGGAGGTGCACACAAAAAAAAAAGTTGTTGAATATTACATCCAAACAGCTGCACAGAGATCATTCCGCCGGTTATGTAATATTACGTTGTACGATGTACATCGATTTTGCGAACAAAATTACGTCCATTGATGTAATATTGTATCTGCTTTTTGCTATTACATCATTATTTCATACATCAGCTTGAATTACGTAGATCGATATTACATTTTTTTTTGCTGTGTAAACTGATCGATTTCGTTTCACATGAACTGTAAACTGCGAAAGAAGGAAACTGGAAAAATGTCCGTCACAAATTTCGCAACATCTTCGAATAGCTCTTTGTTACCAGTTTTGAAAATTTCATTAAGATTAGCATAACGACAATCGAAGGTGTAGTTTTGTCGTTTTATACCAAAACGGGGGCAGTGTAATAATACGTTTTCGGCAGTTTCAATCTCATCACATTCTGGACTATCTAGGGAGTAGTCATGCCCTGACATAAGACATAGTCTTTCCTGGACTTTCTCTCGAACTAATCGTATATGTGCTGCAAATGTTAATGATCGGTCTATGGTTACTCCAAGGTATCGTTGTTTTATTCCCGATTCAAGTGTCTTTCCCTTGACCATGATATTCAAAGTTGTACGTGTACTGAAGCTCATCTTCATCACACTGGATTTCTCGGCGTTTATTGATAATTTCAGTTTTCACAGGCTCCCACGAACTTGTCCATATATTCCTGTGCTTTAACGTTTAGGGTTTCCCAGTTAATAGCTGTTACGATTATCTCAAAGTTGTCAGCATATTGAACCCATGTGACTCCATCAACATGTATGTTATGTAGTTCAGCAGTGTACACATTAAATAACGTTGGTGACAATATATCTCCTTGCGGTAGCCCATTCGAGATTCTTCTCGAAATAATTCCGTCGCGTAGATGCAGGATTATTTTTCGGTTTTTGAGGAATGAGGATATCCATGTGACAATTTCTGTAGGTGTTCCCAGCATAGCCAACGTATCTACCAGAGTATCCGTTCGAACAGTATTAAAGACGTTCGACAAATCATAAGTCTAATCGACAAGTCCAATGGACCTTACTGGCTACCATAACCATTACGATTAAAGTTCTCAAACCATAAGTAAAAAGGTTTTAATATGGTTCAACACAGATGACCCACAGCGACTCACGAAATGCTACTGAATCCGATCAGTAGCGGTGCGGCTTCTTCCTCCTTCTTCAGTGAATCGGGGACCCATGTGGGCTGCAGCTCGCTGCTTGTGGGTAGCCTTTCGATGTGTGTGTACTGGAGAACAATGTTTAACGTCACGCGCCGAAAGCACTGCTGCTGCTGTTGATGACGATCGACCGGACGCCACCACACACGGTGATTGATTGGGCACCTTTCGGCGAGACCGGATGGAATACGATTTTGAAATCTGTGTTAGGGAAAGCGCCATTGCAACAGTTGGACATATGTGTAATTTTCAATAGTGACCTATTGAAAATTGATCAAGTGTTCATTTTAGTAGATTCGTAGAAAATTGTCCAATCGATTGGCTTGTTTAGAATTAAGATCCATCCGCTATGGAGAAAGTTATAACTGACGCGGTCGATTTTGTTTTTTTTTTAATTGCCAAAAGACGTAATCCTACGTCAAAAAAATTCTCATGTAATATTAAAAAAAAAAATCTTAGTCAGAGAATTAAAATGTTCTTACGTAAATCTCATTTTTTCTAAAATTATTTCTATGCGCAATCTATCAGTTTGGCCTACTGCCCTTCGAATAATTTACATATAGGGGAAGGAAGGCATAGTAAGCTCCCTGTGCTTTAGCCTTGAATTTCTTATGTTTCGAAACAAATTAATTGGTCAATAATCATTGCAATGGTGATATTGAACTTACTGCCAATCAATTTGTTTCGAACTATTAGATGTTTGGGCTCGGAATGCGGATGCTCATTATGCCCCTCTTACCCCTAACTTAGATAAATTTCCTTAAACTTTTAAAAACATTTCAAATCTCAAATAATGTAATAATTTGTTGCGATCTTAAAACCCCCTGACGATAATAGGCGACGAAGCGCCGCAGCCGTATAATTTCCCCTATTCCGTGTTTTGGCGACTTTCCGATTTTCCACAGCAAAAAGTTGCGTTTTTGCATTCTCCGCATGATTTGGTGATTAGAAAGACTACTAAATTAGCGGCACCGGCAGGCAGGTAATGTTCTTTCGAAAAACCATAGACCAAATTGTTTGTGACCGAGATATCGGTAGGTGTGTTATTTATCAGCCCCTATTTTGTGCAACTAACGTAAAACCTATTATAGTAGTATTAGCAAACTATTCAACTAGTAAACTTTACCTTCATTGATCGGTGTAAATAACCTGCATCAGAGCTGGACCGGCCTCATCTTCGACGCAGTCGGTAATTACCACCACATCGTCGTCAACACCGTCAGCCGGTGAGGTGGCAGCGTGCGCTTTGGCTTCGATTTCGTAGCCATGTACAATTCCCATGTGGCGACTGAGGGCTTTCCTTTCCATGAAGAAATGTCTACAGTCCGGCATCGTACAAAATGTTTTCTTAGAGTCATCAAAAGTACCGTGATATCTCCAGCGGTGCCGCGAAATGTTTCGCTTCTGTGCAAACAGCGTATCACAGAGGTCGCACTTGAAGTAAGTTTTCACGCCGATTTTCAGCATCTGCACGTCGGAATCTTTGGGTATAAAGTACGACTCTTGCTGTTTGGTTCGCAGCAAGGGTGCTTTATTTGGATGAATTTCGCGAAAATGCCCCGCCAGCAAGGGGAACGACTGATACAGCCGAGAGCAAATCTTACAGCAGTACCAATCATTGGCCATTTTGATGAACGGGTCGCTTTCTTTATCAGCGGCACCCAAATCGATGGGTATAGTTTCCACCGACGAGATGCCGGTGCACTCCACATCATCATCGTCATCGGACAGTTCGTGCACAATGAAAGATGCCGGTGCACTTTCATCGCCGACCATAGGATCCGCGGAAGCTTCCATCGCCGAAGGTTCCGCAGCAATTTCAGTTGCACAAGTTTCGTCGACCACGTCCATGGGAGACGGTTCTACGGTAATATCTTCCGCAACCGGAGAAGTTTCCGTATCAATTGCTCCTTCGGCGACGACTGGAGATGGCACAGCATCAATCCTTTGATGGTACTCCAAAGCAACCGATATTTTGGCCAGGGCCATGTCGTTTCTTTTCCGACGGTATACACGGTTCAGCCTTTGGCAGAGCTTCCGGAAGTTGAGGAAATCGTCCGTAGTGAGACGACACTGCAGACATATCGACGAGGGGGTGTCTGTCTTGGCACTCAGCTTGATACCGGTGCACATTTCGATAACACCGATCAGCTGGTAGTTCACGTCCTGCCGGCTGACGAAAAGCGGTTCCAGCTGGGAGATGGAAAAGCACAATCGACAGTAGGCAGCAAAATCTTCATGGGGTCTTGGCGGGAAGGAAGAGGTGACAGTTGTTAGACGGATTTCGCCAGGTTTTTGCGGATGAATACTTACAAGTCAAGGAAATCTTCGTTGGACACTTCGTCCACTACCACGCTCGAGCGTTTTGTTTTGCTCATTGTCGTGATTTTCTTTAAATTTCCGCGATTATTCATTAAAATATGCCCAATAATCGAAAGTTGCTTCGGTTTTTTGACAGTTGAGTTTGTTATGCCACTCATGCCACCGGAGAAACCGCACGCACACAAGCATGCGATGCACTTGATGTGCGGTGCATGCACGGTATGCCGATAGATGATTTTTTAAATAAAATTTTTAGAGGCATACATATTATGCATAAATTAATATTCACGGAAACTTTCATACACGGTAAAGGCCCAAACGCAATGTGGGCGGAAGCGGAACGGAAACGGAAAGTTTGACAGTTGTCACAAATGACATCAAGATGCGTAACCGAAGTCGATTCGGTTCCAACTAGTTTTCAATCCGACAAGTAGACATACCAATCGGTGGAAACTAAGGATTATAAATTGGATCACTACTTGACTAGCCTATTGATCCCAAGCAAATCGATTAACGTAACCCATTCTAGTCGAAATTCTAGCACTTCTAGCATCGATTAGCTTGGGACCGAAGAGAGTACCAACAATCAATATGAAACTAACGATTTTAAATTGGCTCAATACTTGACTAGCATATTGGTCCCAAGCAAACGATTAACATACCCCATTCTATTCAAAATTCTAGTACTACGTAATGTTGTACCAGAGCTGATCCAAAAAGTTGAGCACGTTTCTTCGTTACCTCTATGGACATACTCAGATCGGGCTTTTCCGCTGCAGTTGCCGTTCCGCTTCCGCTATCATTGCGCTTGAGCCTTAACTCGCAACAACTCAAAATTGAGTCGAACATGCTCATTTCAGCGGGAAGTATATGGCTTCTCAAATGTGAGTAGGCGCACTTTTACTAACTTTTGAGTAAACGACGTTCTCGCACAGAGTGAGTAAAAACCACTCTGTGATATTTTCAGCCGGAAAGCAAAGGGGACGACTCTATCTACGATGCAGGAAATATTGTGTTTTGCTGTGGCTAGCTGCGCGTACGCTGAGTAGATAGAAAGAAAATTTATCACGATTTTGAAGATTTCCTGCAAAAAGATGATACACGATACAACTAGATGCCAGAAATGAAAGAAGACTTTTCGAAGATTTATTCGCTAGTGCACGCAGAAAAAACTATCGTCGTAACAAAAATATTTGAGGTAAATTTAAATGTAAACTCAGTTTGTTCTGGCCACAAACATAAATTAGGTTGATTTCAAACGTATTCCATGTTTGAAGTCATGTGAAATCAATGTTTAAAATAAAAATAATGTTACGTTTATTTCAAAAATATTCGTGTTGAAAATAAACGTATTTATTTTTGTTTGGTTTGACAGCTATGCGAACAATAATAAATATGTTTATTTTAAACATGCTTCTCATGTTTAAAATAAACATACATATTTTGGAATTATTTGAGTAGTTGAGTGCAGGGTAAAGCAAAATAAAACGGAAAGAAATGAAAAAAAGGTCTTCGGGCAGGGCATCTTAATTCCTGATCTTTTCGGGTGCGATTAAGGGTGACCTGTGGGTATTGGGGTCCTGGTCCGGGATGCAAGGACCCGTCGGGGTGGGTGTCCGGGGGTTCCAGTTCAGTGGAACCGGTGCAAATTTGTGTTATTAGCGTCGTTTTGCCGTTTCTGCCTCGGTTTCTACCACTGGTCCTCATACCGGTTTCTTTCCGTGTTCGATATCGGAGGAGGATCCGGAATGGATTCGGAATGGATGTCCGTTTTCTGTTGAGGTTGAGCAAAGCTGGGGCAACTTTTTCCGAATGAAACAAGAAGGAAATAAAAAGGCATGACACGCTAAAAACCGTTTACCCAAATCCTATATTGTTGAAATAAACATGCTTTTGAATTTACTTCAAACATAAATATTTTAGTTTTAAACATGCTTTCAATTTACTTTGAATAATTCATATGTTTAGAGTATAAACATTTATATTTTTGTTTTAAATGAACAAAATTCGTATCCGTGTGTGAGATTTTTTGAGCATCTAGAATTGAGATTTAGATGTGTCGCCCCCTCGCCGGAAAGTTTGTTTTTTTACTCATTTAATGGGTAGTCCTCGGGGTAGTCCCGGCAAAGAAGAATACTCCCAGTCCCAGTCTCCCTCGAAAATGCTTACTTTTGTAGTCATTATTGGGTATTTTGCGGTTACCGTGTTGTTAATTGAATTTGTCAATTCTAGAGTAACATTTGAAATGGGCTTATGTCCAAAACGTAAACAAATGAAGTCACTAATTGCTTGTATCGTACAGGGGTTTTACTCACACAACTTAACCAGCTGGATGGCATCCCTATCTTGTTTGCCTTGCCTTGAAAAGAGCTAACATCGCTGCGGGCCCGCGAATCGTGGGCCCCACTGACAGCTCATAATTTGTAAACAAATAGAAGATTCAATCCAGAATTTCAAAAAAGGCGTGACTGATATTATGGATATTCTTAATATTTTTGCTCACATTTTGTGAAAAATAAACTTAGAACTCATAAAATATTATTTTCTGATTTTCTACCACGAAGTCAACCATTTATATGGCATAAAAGGAAAAATAATTTCATTTGATAAAAATAAGACAATTCAGTCACGCCATTCTTGCAGTTCACACTGGAATTGTGACGTTTCAGATGTTGGTTTCAATAACATGGCGGCATTATAGTCGCTATATTCATAGTCTGGCGGATAGAATTTCGATCTATCAAAAAGCGGAACCAATTCACTATATTTTAGACCAACAATTGAAAAGGTACTACAACTTTTTTAAACAAAACATTAATTATTCTTTCCTCGCCAATCGAACGCAAATTATCGGCATCATCGGATAGGGCAAACTTTCCTCAACCTAAGTTTGCGTAGGCGCGCCTTGAGTCACGCGAAAAGGGTATCCGAAGTTTTGTTCGCAATAGCTGATGTGCTCTTTTCTGTTGTTGGTCGTGATTTGCTCGATTGGTTCCGCTATTTGACAGCTGAATTGGTTCCCGAGATTCTATCCGCCAGACTATGAATATAGCGACTATAGGCGGCATGCCACCCAGCTGAACTTAACCGATTGCTTCACCTCGGTAATCCAGCACATTGCTTGATACACTGAAACAAATCGACATGTACCGTTTATTGGATCCATCTTATAACATAGCAATGTCAGCACATTTATTCATTCTATGTGATGATTGATAGATTCTATTGGATTATCACTTAAAAACTATGACTGCGATATGGAATGATTTCTATCGTAATTTCACATACTTAGTACTTGATAGTACTTTGCTTCGAACGTGGTTAGCGAAGGTAAGAAGTATATGAATATTGTCTGATATATTTCATGGTGAAAAACTGTTGATATGTCATGGGTGGGAACAGACATCTAGAAACTAATGGAAAATCATATAAGTTTGCACTATGAGAAAATTCAGTAAAATATACCTGTTTTCATGATATATATCTTATAAGATAATCATGTATATTTTATTGGAGTTGCTTTTACTGATTTTTGACGTTTGTTGATATGTCGCGTGTAAATAGACATGTAGAAACTATTGGACTGTCATTTAACTTTGCAGTATAGGAAACATGTATATCTCATTGTAATAGCTTGCTTTGATTTTTGACGTTTAAAGATTGTAAACAGATCTATCCCAATCATTAAATAGTCATATAGAAATGCCTTTTAAGAAATCCAATAGCAAGCATTTGTTTTTGCATATTTTTCTGGGATGAATATCGCTCCCAATAAAATACATCTTACATGATTGTTCTTTATAAATTATTGAAACAATTTTCAACGATGTTAACGTACACTCATTCATATGATAATTGGTTCCAGAAAAGAATGTATTGAGATTGAAAAAAAAAATGATTCTACTGTAATATTTACTTTGCTATGATTCTAATTGTAAGCCTTCTACACGGCTAATTCAGATTCCAGCCCTAAGTAGTACTGGAACTTCATGAGCCAGTTCTATCAAATCATATAATTTAGTCGTTGATTTATTGCAGACAGGTGCATTAAGAAAGATTTGAACAAACCACACCACCGAAACGGAACATAAATTTGTCAGTGCTATTTGTCTTCACTCTAGCAAAACGAGCATAAAGTTGCACTACATTCCATGTCGGGAGAGCTGTTCTTACTTCATGCTATTTGAACGAGCTCAATCTTGAAGTCAGCCGTGGCCCAGTGGAATCGAGCACAGACACCGAAAGCATCACACCTCAACAGATCTTGATCGAATCCCAAATCAGCTACAATAAAAAAAAGGCACAACTGTGAAAGCTCCCACTGCCTGATGTTTATTTTTCGAATTTATTTTTAGAAATCGATTAAATATATGTGTCAAAAGAAGAAGTAACTTTCATGTTATTTTCACATAAACTTTACTTCGATTGATTTATGACACATATATTATATTGTGGTGAAAAGTATAGCTTATGCTTATGGGTTTCAAATCCATTTCAGTTAATTATTATTATTTAATCGATTTTCATTTATCATATGACGATCATATAAAAGTTACCAAATTATCAGCATTGTAAATGTATCAGATATTCATATAGAATTTACCTGACACATTTTCAATCATATCATTTTCAATGGATTATCTTATAGCGCAAATTTATTAGACTTCCACATAACAGGAATATGTCAAATTCGTTCAGTGTAGCTACTAATCGTGTACACAGCAAAAAAAAAATGTATTATCGATCAATGTAATTCAAGCTTATACAAGCAACGTTATATCACAGACAAACAGACATAACACTCGCAAGTTGTTCATCGGACAAGCATTTAACGGTCAATTTAAAAGTATCGTAGTTGGTAGTACCGCCACCTGTGGCGCGCATAGTCAATTCCCTTGCGTTTGACATTTACACACTACCGCCATCTGTTCAGCGTAGTGCCCACCACAGTGTACTCAACAGATGGCGGTAATGTTTTAGCGACGATGTTTTACAGTGAGAAATATTCAATGTGTTATGTCTGTTTGTCTGTGGTTATATTACACAACTGATGGATTGACCTGGTTGCAGCAGTTTGGATGTGATATTCAACAACTTTTTTTCTGTGTAGGAA